GATTTACCAGCTCATAATGTTTGGAATCAATCTCGTACTGATCAACTCTATTCTCTCAGTACTATTAATAATATGTTAGCAACTATTTTTCCAAATAAAACATTTTATTCAGCTGTTGGTAATCATGAAACTGGTATATAATTTTATTATCATAAAATCTATAATTATTCAACCTTTTCTATCATATAGCTCCTTGTAATCTATATCCAACACCAAATATTCGAACAGATAATATATCTTGGTTATATGAAGCATTAGCTGATAGTTGGATAAAATTAGGTTTACCAGCTGATACACGTGATAGTATCGAACGTGGAGCTTTTTATACAACATTAGTGCGCCCTGGTTTACGATTAATTTCACTTAATATGAATTATTGTACATCAGATAACTTTTGGTTGATTATTAATTCAACTGATCCACTTAACCAACTTCAATGGGTTAGTTTCTTTTATGCAACACAATGATATAAATAATATTGTTTCTTTAGTTAATTCAATGGTTACAATATGCTGAAGATCATGAAGAGAAAGTACATCTCATTGGACACCAACCTCCTCGTTCTTGTTTTGCAGCATTCAGTTGGAATTTCAATAAAATTATTAATCGGTAAGAAATTCAACATAAACTCGTTTACTTCTAATATTATTACTATATAGATATGAAAATACAATTGCTGGTCAATTTTTTGGACATGCGCATTCAGAAGAATTAATGATGTTCTATGATGAGATAGACACACAACGACCAGTTTCAATGGTACATCATTTTCTTCATAATTCTCCATATACATCTATATTTCTAAATAGGCTTATGTAGGTCCATCACTAACAACTTATTCATATTTAAATCCAGGCTATCGTGTATATACAATCGATGGTGATTATCAAGGAAGTTCATTTTGGACACTTGATTATCATACAGTTATAATGAATTTAACTGCATCGAATATGTTTAATCAAACTGTATTTCTTAAAGAATATGATGCTCGTGATGCATATCAAATGGAAAATTTATTTCCTAATGATTGGAATGATCTTATTCAACGATTAGAAAATGATATTGATGGTCCACTAATGGGTACAGTTTATCAACATTATACAAAATCATATGAAGATGGAAGTCAATGTGATCATAATTGTCGTCGAGGACTTATCTGTGATTTTATAACTGCCCGTTCAGAAGATCCTCATGCATGTGACTCAATTCCACCATTTAATTAGTTCTTTCTTTTTTTTTTGTAATCCATATTTTGCTAAATAATATTTTCGATTGATAAATGAATTGTATATTAAAATAAATTTAAAATATTATTATTCCAACACATCTACTTTTCTTCATTATTGTAGTCATTTTGGATTTACAATGTCGTTCACATTTCAATTTTTTCAATTATTTTCTTGTTTAATTATTTACTTGATAATGATTAATGCTCGATCAATATATGAAGATAATATTAATAGATCGATCTATGATCCTTTTAATGATGTTGATCGAAATCTACTCGTTACTCTTGCTAGTTATCGTCATCGATTTGAGAGATCAATGAACTTTAAAAAGTTACAATGGACATTTACTAATTTAAATAGTACAGCGTTATGTGATGCCTGTGATCTTTTTGTACCTGAGGTAATGTTTAATTTTTGAAATATACTATATTCACAAGCTAAATTTTTTAGATGCGTGCACTTATCAAAATTAATCGATCAGATTTAATTGATGATGTTGCCATTCGATTTTGTAAATACTATAAATTACTTGATCAAAATGTTTGCTTAGGAGCTGTAAACGAATATAAAGTAAATCTTCTATTATTACGTTCGTGAAATTAAAGATTTATTTTCGCGTTAGAATGTTATAATAGAAGTGCTTTCCATGTCTCCTCTTACAAATAAAGAACTTTGTTCATTAGCATTTGAATGTCAAGCACCACCATATTTCCCTATAGTTAGTTGGAATGTAACATTTCCTGACAAACCAAAACCAACGCCGCGTCCACCACAACCTCCTGCGGTCAGTGACGTTAGAAAACAAAACTTATCGAAAATTTTTATATTCTGATTATAAATTTAGCCAGCAACACCAAAACTAAATGTTCTTCATTTATCTGATATTCATATCGATTTTGCCTACAAACCAGGATCTCAAGCAGATTGTTCTCAACCATTATGTTGCAGAGCAGGTCAACCCGGTGAGTAATTATTTTTATTAACTGTCGATAATTTACAATCGTTAATGAGCAATTTTATAGTACCTGGTCATATAGGCGCTGGTTTCTGGTAAGATTATTAGCCAAAATCACATTAAATTATAAGTATATGATCGATTAAAGGGGTGACTATCGAAATTGTGATATTCCATATTGGACTGCCGAATCGATATTAAAATATGCTGCTGAATTAGAAAATGTAATTATAATTTTTCTAATAGCTAAGGAGCTGCGTATCGACATTTTTGTAGACGAGTAGTTCCCTCATACTATTAATACTATCAGCATGTGATTGTTCTATTTTTCAAAGATTGATTTTATCTACTATACGGGGGATTTACCAGCTCATAATGTTTGGAATCAATCTCGTACTGATCAACT